TTTGTGTGACAACTTCTAAAAATGTCAATAGTTGTTAAGTACCATTTTCAAATTGTTAATCTATTTTTATCTACAAAGTACAGAATATGAAGAATTACTGCTCAATAAATACATATGCATTCATGTCAGGTTATGTTCACACCATATAGTCTCTTCAGGGAGGAAATATTTTCACTAGCAACATTAATAAAAATTTTTGTAGTTTTATTAAATACCTATGTCTCTCAATCATGTCTACACACGTATACAATTAGCTACCAGTTCAATGACCAAAAAACTAAAGATAAATAGTAATGCAACTAACATGTCTACTGGTAAAAGACCACGTTAACTGCATAAATGCCGGTATCTGGAGCCCGTGCCTCTAGGATGCTCCCTTTTTTATTATGCACTTTATATAAAGTTTTTATTTCTAAACACAATCACTTTCTTTTTATTATACATTATACTACTTTAATTTTGTAAAAAAAAAATCATGCTACTTATCATCTATTGAATATAAAATTGAATGTATTTTCGTGTCTCTCCCTAGGTGGTTCAATTAGCAATTTAATTATTCTGAATGTAGATAAGTTTAAAAGATATAATCATACCCCCCCTAAAATTTAAAGAACAATTATATTCAATTGACGATACCATTAATTAAGATGGATGCAAGATTTAACCTTGGCCCACTTGCTCTTTCTTTCCTATTTCTTTATTTCTTTCTCAGAACAACTAAAAACTAAGTAGGATTTAACCACTTTTGAGCCTTCCTATTAAGCTGGGGGGTTGGGAGAAAGATATATTTTTCTTAAGAGTGATTTTTTCCTAAACTAAAATTATAGAAATAAATCAATTAAAACATTTATTAAGTGCTGACTATATGCCAGACACTGTACTAGGTGCTGGGTATACAAAAAGAGATAAGACACAGTCCCTGCCCACAAAGAAGCTCAAAATCTAATGAAGGAGCAACATGTAAACAAATATACAAAGAAGCTATGTGCAAGATACACATGAAATAATAACAGAGGGAAGGCACTAGAATTAGAAGGGAGTAGGAAAGGTTTCCTGCAGAAGGTGGGATTTTAGCTGGGGCTTAAAGGATGCCAGGGAAGTCAATAATAGGAGTTGAGGAAGGAGAAGTATTTCATGCAAGGGGGATAGCCCTGGAAAATGCCTGAAAGCAAGAGCTGGCATGTCTTGTTTGTAGAACAGCCAAGAGGCCAGTGTCACTGGATTGAAGAGTACATGGTTGGGGACTAAGGTGTAAGAAGACTGGAAAAGTAGGAGGGGGCTTATTTATGAAGGGTTTTGAATGCCAAGCAGAGGATTTTGTATGTATTCTTGGAGACAGGCAATAAGAAGCCAGTGGAGTTTACTGAGAAAGGGGGGTGGGGGGGAATGCATAGTCAGACCTGAACTTTAGGAAAATCACTTTGGTGGCAAAATGGAGTATGATTAGAGCAAGGAAACACCTGAGGCAGTCACCCTCACTAGCAGATGATTGCAAGAAAAATCAAATCCAAATACCAACCCAACAGAATATAAACGTAAGTTATGTTTATTTGTTCAGGCATGTCCAACTCTTTCTGACCCAGTGGACCAAAGCACGCCAATACTGTTCAAGGGGTTTTCTTGGCAAAGATACTGGAGTGGTTTGCCATTTCCTTCTCCAGTAGATTAAGGCAAACAGAAGTTAAGTGACTTTCCCAGGATCACACAATAGTAAGTATATGAGGCCAGATTTTAACTCAGATCTCCCTGACTCTAGGCCCAGTGCTCTATCCACTGAGCCATCTAGCTGCCTCAAGTTATGTTTACAAACACCACCAAAATATTTGTGAACAAATAATATTAATAATGATAATACCATATTTACACAGCTCTTTAAGATTTACAAGACGCATGAAAATCTTTGATGTAGGTAATGAAAATATTATTACTATTCCCATTTCAGAGTTGAGGAAACAGAGGCTCAGCTCCCAGACATTAAATGTCTTGCCCAGGTTCACACAGCTAATGTGTCAGTGCTGGGATTCAAATTCAGGTCTTATGATATAAAGTCTAGTGCTCCTACAACTTTGTCAAGAATGAAGAATAAAAGAATTGTTTAAAACCAAAATTAAGCAGCAAAGGTAAAAAACAGACATTCCTTCCTTTTACTGTTTAGGCAGCACAGTGTAGTAAATACAGTGCCAACCCCAGAGCCAGGCCAACCTGGGTTCCAGTCCTGCTTCTGATACACAGTTGCTGTGTGACCCTGAGTAAATACTTCTCAGTACTCTAGGCAACTCTTTAAGACTAAAAGTTGCAGAGATGATTTTGGTCTATGTTGGGAACACATAGTTTCCTCATAGTCCTTTTATCAATTGTATCACAGTATCTCTCTAAATAAATTAGCCCTGGAAATTAAAATTCTGTACCTGTGGTATCAAAAAAACAGAAATTTTCCCTCCAGGAGAAAAAATATCATCAGGTTCAGAGTTAAGATGTAAGGCTTAATCTCAGGTGTACTGACTATGCTGAAAATGTTCATCCCATGATTCTTTTTATCTCCCTAACTGATAAAACAATCAGGACCAAATAAATGCCAACTTGATCCTTTTAAGTAACCTTTATTGGAACCTGAGCTCAGGTCTTCTTGACTCTGAGGCCACCTCTCTATCCATTTTGATGTACTGCTTCTTAGAAAGAACCACTCAATCTCATCCAAAATAGAACTCATCCCCCCCCCCCCCAACCTTTCCCTATTCTAACTTTCTATTTATGGGCAATACCATCTATTCAGTCATCTAAGAGTTTGCAAACTCCAAGTCATCTTTATCTGTTCTCTCCCTAATTCTTAAAGCCAATCAAATTGCCAAGTCCTATCTGTCCTATCTCTACAGTATCTCTCCCATCCAGTATCGCCACTCACAAGCCCACCTCCCAACTTCAGACTCTCATCACCTCTCTCCTTGTCACAGCATCCTAACTGGTCTCCTTGCCTCCAGCCTCTTCCCTCTCTAATTCATCATCCACAATATGTCTAAAGCATAGGTATAATTACATAACTTTAAGAAACTAATGGCTCAAGTATAAACTCCTCTGTTTAGCAGATAAAGCCTTTCACAATCTAGCTCTGGACTACCTTTATAATTATACCTTACTACTCCTCACAAACTTTTTTCCAAGCAAATAAGCCTCCTTGCTTTTCTCAAACATGACATCAAATACCCTATCTCTGTGCCTCTGCACAATCTGTGTCTCATGCCTAGTATGCTTTCTCCTTTCATTTTTGTGTCTTAGGCTAAAGTGCCAACCTTCTACATGAGGCCTTTTCTCATCTTCCCAACGGCTAGTGCTACCCATTCAAAAAAAATACAGGTTGTATTTGTTTTCTACACATATATTTTTAATCTGTTAATCTATGTATGTATCTCTTTTCCACAAAAAATGGAAGCTCCTTGAAGGCAAGGAATATTTTATTTTTGCCTTTGTATCCACAACACCAACAATGCCGAACACACAGTAGGTACTTTTAATAAATGTTTATTGATTAGTTGATAGCTAGACTGCTGTGTGGCAATCACATAACACACAAAAAAATAAGGCAGTGTTAAAATAAGGCAAGTTAAAAGATACCTAGAAAATTAAGCTTTTTTTTTTTTAAATTGAATATCACTTGGTCCTGCCACCAAATAGTAGTCTAAACAAAATGTGCTAGAATTTGGAAACCCCAAAATTCTAACAATTTATTTGCTTAATGAAACTGCAGTTTTTTTGGTGAATAAGGCTCAATATAAATGAATTACAAAAAGAAACTGGCAGTTGTTGCATATTTGATGAAGTTTTAACAAAAAAAATTATTTTAAAATTCAGAGCATCAAGTTAACATATATTTTAATATAAATTTTATGTTTTGAATCTTTAAAATTTTATCTTTCACATTTTCAAATCTGATTTCCAATTTTCTTTATATACTAAATGTCCTTGATTTTCTGGTGTTAAGGGCTGTTAAGAGGTCTTTTGAATTTGTCTTTTTGAGTTGCCATATTTTCCAGAAACATGGGACCCAAAGCAGGCAGGAGGCCCTTAATGTGTTAAAGATAAAGCTCTTCTTGAGCTGACATAATTTGTTGTTTGCACCTCCCTGTGTGTCCTTGGGAGGCAAGACAGGTGCCAGTCAGTCTGTGCCAGGCAGGGAAAATGCTTGTGCAGTCAGGGTCCTCTGCAGATAAGCAGACCCTCCTATCTTCATAGTTTAACCATTCCCAAGGGAAAAGAATGCAGATTTTGCCATCACCTTGCTCCTCCCGTTTGGGAGAGGTTACTGCACCTTTTCCTTCCGATGCCTCTTCCTGTTTTCTACTCCTCCTTTTGTCATACTGTCATAAATATGCAAACTTCTGTAAGGGCTGGGAACTCTTTGGGTTCCAGACTCATGTTCATTTCTCTTGTAATAAACCTGGTTTTCACATATGTCTCGTGACACTGTGATTACCTGTTGACACCAGGTATCTTTTAATTTGCTACAATGCCTTATTTTAGTGTGTTGTGTCACTGAATCATATATATTTACTTTTAGGGAAAAAAAATAACAAATTTCTCTCAAACAGTGAGGTGATTTTTAGAAGGTAATTATTTTCCAGCACATACTTATGTGCTTTTTTTCCCTTTTAAAGAAATGTGATTTTAGCAATGTACCAGGGCACAAATCAGATATTACCATTAGGCTAGAGTCTATATAATTGTACATGTGGATTAATGAAAGTTTAAATATCAATGAAGTAAAATATTAAACTTTTCCTATTCCTTTATTTTTAAATACTTAAAAATTAATCATTAGTCATTTCATACAAATCCTCTCCTTTTCTCCTATTTAGGTCACTGTTTTTAAGTGACATGATAATCTAGTAATCAGCAAAGTGCTGAATCTTTAGCTCCCTAGTTGCAGTTAATCACCTGGCTATATAGCTTTTTCATGCTTGACTAGTTTTATTTTCTGGAAACACAAATAAACATAAATCACTTACCACATGAGTGGTCTTCAAAGTACTGCCATCAAATCTGCATAAACTGGAGCTCTCTTCAAAGAAAATATCACACTCTTCTAATTCTTGAGCATTACATGGTGGTTTTTCCTTATCTGGATCTGGATTCTTAAACCAGAGAAGAATCAAAACCAACATTAGGCACTTAAATAATACTATCATTTTATAAAATGTATAGTTCAACAATATTCATTGATTAAATATTTAATTTCAACATGCAGTTGTGCTAAAATAGGATTTGTTATGTGACCATTATTTGACTATTATAAAGACCGCAATTTTATTAGTTATTTAATTATAACCAACATGAAGATATACATAAACACACCAGAAATGAAAACCTTAATAAAAAGTGAAATGTAATCTAAACAGATGCCTCAAAATTAGCAGGATATTTGTTATAGTTTTTATTATAGTTGGTCCTGTACCATTTAATATGTTTATCAAGGAGTTGGCCAATGGCCATGTTGGCATGCTTGTCAAATTGGTAAATGCCAAAGGCTGGTAACATGAGTCAAAATATTGCACAACAGAAAGGATTCACAATCTTGACAGGTTAGGACATGGGTGGAAAACCTGTGGCCTTCCCATCCCTGAAATAGAATATTGGGTGGAATCAAGTAAGATGAAATTTGTTGTTATTCAGTCGTTTCAGTCATATCCAACTCTTCATGACCCTCATTTGGGGTTTTCTTGGCAGCTCATTTTACAGATGAGGAAACTGAGGCAAACAGGGTTAAGTGACTTGCCCAGGGGCACAGAGCTAAGTGTCTGGGGCCAAATTTGAACTCAGGTCTTCCTGACTCCAGGCCTGGTGCTCTATCTACTGCACTATCTAGCTGCCCAAGACAACCAAAGTTGAAAATGGATAGAGATAAATGTCAAGTCTTAAAACCTAAAGTTAACATTGGGTTCCAAAACAACAATTTCATGAGTTGAAGACATGGAAGGCTTGGCTGGATAGCAGGTCATCAGAAAAAGACCGCAGTATTTTTGTAGAATGTAACTCCATAGAAGTCAATAGTGTACTACCACATTGGTTAAAAAATGATAGAAGAGGAAAGTGACAAACGTTGGAGGGGATGTGGAAAAATTGGGACACACTAATGTATTGTTGGTGGAATTGTGAATTCATCCAATCATGTTGAAAGCAATCTGGAATTATGCCCAAAGAGTTATTAAACTACTTATACCCTTTGACCCAGCAATACACTACTTGATCTAATTCTGAAGATAATTAGGGAAAAAGGAAAAGAACCTATATGCTCTAAAATGTTTATAGCACCTCTTTGTGGTGGCAAAAAACTGGACATTGCGGGGATGCCCATCTATTGGGGAATGGCTGAATAAGTTGTGGTATATGACTGTGATTAAATACTACTGTGCTATGAACTCAATGATATTAGAAAGACATAGATAGACTTACACGAAATAATGAAGAGTAAAATGAGCAGAACCAAGAGTACACTGTATACAGTAACAGCAATGCTGTTTTGGGAGACTTTGAGTAAGTTATTTGATTATTATAAACACACAAACTAACCATAAAGGATATATGAAGAAAGACATTATTTGCATCCAGAGAAAAGAACTGATGAATAGAAGTATGCATAGAATAATTGTACATACACACACACACACACATACCTACCTGTGTCTAACGGTAGCCATACAATAATTTTGTTGTCTATTTAAAGGAATAGCAAGTTGTGCATAATAATCTGCAGTTTCATGTGCAATCATATTTTTTATTGTATTATATTATGGAAATGCTTATTTTATTCCATAAATTAAAAATAAAATTTAATAATGAAAGAAACAATGCCAATCTTCTTACTAAAAAAAAAATGCCAATGTGTAATATAGTAATATAATAGTCAATAAACATTTATTAAGCACCTATTACATGCAAGCTTCTAGGAATAAAGAAGTGATAGTTGTTTTGTACTCTGCTTAGGCCAAACAAAATCTGGAGTACTTTTGTCAAGTTCTTGGTAATGAATTTGAAGAAAGGGCACTAATAAAGCTGGCAACCATGATGGTGAAGGCCCTTGAAGTCATACCACACAAAATAAGTTCAAAAAAGTTAGGATATTTAGCCTGGAGAAGAGAATATTTTGGTGGAACAGGATAACTGTATTCAAATATTTGAAGGGCTTATTAGTCAAAGGAGGACTACATTATTCTGTTTGTCCAAGAGTGCAGAACTAAGAAAAAGGGAAGAAAGTTACAAAGGTGCAAATTTAGAACTGATGAAAAGAAAACATTTCTAACAACCAGAGTTCCAATTAGCCCAGGAGAAGGAATCAGTGAGGCATCTACCATCCTCATTCAGCCCCAACTGGAAGTCTTCAAAGATGAACACTTCAGGATGTTGTAGAAAGAATTATTTATCAGGCACCAGTTTCACTAAAAGCTCTATGAGGTCTCTTCAAACTTCTAATTCAGTGATCCTGTAATTTGAAGGGTTTTTTTTAAATTTTTTTTTTACACAATAGTCCTGATAACTGCTTTAAAATAAGGGGGTTGAAAATATTCATGGCAGCACCTTTTGTGATAGTAAAGAACTAGAAACAAAACAGATGCTCTTTGCTTAGGAAATGACTGATTTGTGGTACATTAATGGAATGGATACTGTGCTATAACATAATGAGGGACCCTGGGCAAGTCACTTAATCCTGTTTGCCTCAGTTTCTCATGTGATGAGGGTCCTTGTCACCTCATGCTTAGACTATTGCCATATCCTGCTGGAGAGAGGTCTGTTCACAGCCCTCCTGCTCTGCGCTCTGTTTATGACCCAAGTTTGGGTCTGTTGTCTTGTGTGTAGTGGAGTTTCAATAGATTATTGCTGAACTTGGTCACTATAAGCTCTCTGGGAAGTTCTACAGGTTCAGAGAAACTAAACTGCTTGACCCTTTGGTCTTGGTTTTATGCTCTGTTTTTTTCACTGCAGGATTATGTGCTGGGCTAAAGGTTAGAAAACAGTCATTGTTCTGCTCCTGTATTCAGAACCACATAGCTAAGTTAGTGGAATGTGTTTTATGTTCAGTACGCAGCTAGGTGGTGCAGTGCACAGAGTGATGGGCCTGGAGTCAGGAAAACTTATATTCTTGAATTCAAATCTGACCTCAGATACTTAGTAGCTGTGTGACTCTGGGCAAGTCATTCAGCCCAGTATGCCTCAGTTTTTTCATCTGTAAAATGAGCAGGAGAAGGAAATGGCAAACCTCTCTAGTATCACTGGCAAACAAACCCCAAATGGGTTCATAAAGAGTTGAACACAACTGAAATGACTGAACAACAACAACACAGGTAGAACCCTATGGATCTGTGACCAGAAGTGAGTAACAGGTGAAAGAGCTGCTAGATTCCTATTCCTGCTTGGCCTCCACCCCACCATTCACAAACTTCTCTACTTATCTTTCTAAGCTGATGTGGGCTGGAGAAATGACTTACTGTGACTTTTTCTTGGCTTTCCTAAAAAAACTCAGGAAATAATATTTAGTTGATAAAATGTTTTTGCACAAATAGGTCCTCCTTTTTCTTTGATCTCTTTGTGGATACAGGTATTGCTGGGTCAGAGAGTATGCATGGTTTTATAGCCCTTTGGGTATCATAGAATGAAAGTATTTAAAAGAGAAGCCTTACTCCTTTTTAGGGAAGAATTTTTCTTTTTCAAATTAAGTTTAAATTGAAATTAATTCTTCTGGGAGTAAAGCAGGCAAACAGGAATATAAAGACAACAAAAGTTTGCTGTCTAAGAGAATGCTTTTAGAATGATAAATAAACTCAAAATTCAATTTGAAGTAATTAATTTTCATAATAACATAAGTGGTTTCTACAAAGTTGGTACAGTCACAAACAGTGAAATCACCAAATCTCATTTTAAATAAACAATTTGATATTTCACATACAGGATGGAGACTGAACCTACTGTTTCACTGGTATACGGTACTCTTAGGTCAGGAAACTTTGTCTCCCAATTCAGGTCAGCATCATCTCTACAATTTGTGGTCTCAGAGACTTTCTCAGAGCACCAAGAGGTTAAATGACTTGCCAGGGTTGCACAGCCAATAAATGTAAGAAGAGGAACTTAAAACATGTCTTCCTGGCTGTAAGGTCAGCCCTCTCTCCCCTAGGCTATAATACCTCAATGCTGCTCTCTGTCCACTGTATTTGTTACCCCAATCAATGCAAGTATGTTTCATTTCCTTTTCTTGCTTCACTTGGATGGAAACGCTGACGATAAGGAAGGGGAAAAAAAAAAAAGGTAAGCTGAGCCACTTAACGTATCACAAGTTGGAGAATCAGATGCTTAAAAAAAAAAATATGAAAACTGCTCACTCAATTACCAAAGGAATTACAGAGCATTTTCATTACAAAGTGATTCAAATTTTAATTTAAAAAGGGGAAAAATGTGGAAAGAACATTGTAATGTCATTGATGAACTTTAAAAAATATTATGAAGCAAAAATTATTGACTTTAAAAAGTGCTTAAGTCATTCATAGTTGAAAAATACACACGTAGATAAATGTTTTATTCAACTTTAACGGATTAGAATTCTACTGAGGAGTATCTGGTCTGATTCATTATTTAAGTGAATCCATGGGATAGGAAAGTAATTCCTAATGGACTTTGCTTCAATCTAAACCTTCCCTAGTTGAAAAATACTACAGGTTGCAGAAGTACCTATGATAATAGGAAATAAAAGTACTTAATTCTCCAAATTCAGCTATCTTCTAAGACTTGAAGTCTAGAAAACTTGCATGTCAATAGACATGTTTACAAAACTAACAGCAATTTATAAAAAAAACAAAAACATTCATTGACTTTGCCAGAGTATTAAGACTACTCCAAATTACTAGTTGTTAAAGAAGTGAGTTCTGTGCAATTTGCATAAACACAGCTTGGAAAGCCATTTAACTTCTATGCTTATAGAAGGTTATAAAATCAGAGAAAAAACCTTTGTATGCAAAACTAATAGTACTGATTGCATTAATTTCCTGGGAAGATTTCCATCATCAATGAAAATTACACTTGCTTAAGTTCCTTGAAGATACAGGCTTCAGAGTATTTTGTGTCTTTGTAACCCTAGTACCTAGCACAG